CGACCAGACTGACATCGAAGAAATCACGGCCGCCGGAGCCGTCTAGTGTAAATTCCGCCAAAGTCGCCGGAGGCGTCGCTCCATTTCCGGCGCACTCAAGTTTGTCGGAGCCACAATCGCCAGTACCGCAGGAGAATTTCCCGGTGGAATCTTCAGAACAGAGTGTTCGGCCCCAGAACCGCCCGCCCCAAGACGTCGGCGCAGGCAGCGTCTTGGATTCTCCAGACTCGAGAGAGAAACCAGTGGTGGAAAGCGGCGGAACGCCACCGTTCGACAGAATGCCCGGCCAGACTGTAAATCCACATTTGTTCACAAAAGTAAAGCTCGTCGGAAACCCGCCTGAAAATCCAAAAAACAGAGCACAACAAATCAACAACGCAACAGAACAAAAAACACCCAAATCCAGAATCAACGATCAATCAGAATCAACAAATCATCATAACACACCTGGTAGCAAAAGCATTAGAATCGAAACACCCAACAGGAATGAAATTCGGGCCTCCATTGGAGGCGAACCCAGAAGATCTTAAACGAAAGAAAAAAACAGGGGCCGTCAGAGCAGATCGGAACGGGATCAAAGCTCTGAAGATGGGCCGGCGAAGGGGAGAAATTGCAGAACAAAAATGGAGGTATGGAGAGGGAAGGGTATTTATAGAAAAAGGAAGAGGAGAGAGAGAGTGGGAATGGGCAACGGCTAGAAGTGCTGGAGAGTGGTGGGGCAGAGGAAGGATATTCTTTTTTGTTATGGCGGTTAAAGGAGATATCGGGAAGCGTGAAGACGGAGCTTGTCAGAACGCAAGTGGAGAAGCAGAAGAGAGAGAGAACCGCCATTGTTGAGTTGAGAAAGAGAGTTTAACCGACTCACTCTCAATTTAATTGGACACGAAGTATGTTCATCAGTTATTATTTCAATATTAATTTCTATTTTTTATAATTTTTATTAAAAAATATAAAATATTTTATTAAATCTAATAATATTTCGACTCAAATTTCACTATTATGACATAGTTTTGTGCATTTAAAAAATTTGAAAAATTATTTTATTAAGTAAAAAACAATATTTTCCTATATATAAAAATAAGTTTGTTTTACTTAATTTTGATATATATTTTTTATATATATTGGTATATTTATATTTATGTATAAAAAGTGATGTGGGACGATATTTGGGTAGGTGGGGATGGGAAATATCATTATCGTCCTCTCCCACTTCGTGAGGAAAAATCTCACCTCACTCTCTTTCCTATTTCTCGTCTCATTTAGGAACAGTTTTTGTCCTTGTGGGTTAAATTGATCTCTCATGACAACTAAAACTGTGATGTCCCACATTCGTCGAGGCTCGGGGAGGAGAACAAACCACCATTTATAAGGGTGTGGAAACCTTCCCTAGTAGACACATTTTAAAGTTTTGAGGGAAAGCCCAAAAAAGACAATATCGGCGATGGATCTGGGCTGTTACAAATGGTATAAGAGTCAGACACCGGATGATGTGCCAACCTTCTCGCTATTCTTCGAAGGGGGTAGACAAGAGGCGGTGTGCCAATAAGAACGCCAGGTCCCAAAAGGGGTGGATTTGGGGGCGGTCCCAACCTTCCCCGAAAGGGGGTGGATTGTGATGTCCCACATTAGTTGAGGAGGAGAACAAACCACCATTTATAAAGAGTATGGAACCTTCGTTTTAAAGCTGTGAGGGAAAGCCCAAAAATGACATTAACGATGGATCGAGTTGTTACAAAAACACATGGCTACCCATCCTAAGATTGGATTAGAAACTAAAGAGGGAAATAATTTGTTTTTATGTTTTTTTTTTTTTTTTTTTTTTTTTTTTTTGTAATGAAAAAGATATTATTTGAATTATTAATAAAAATATAGAATAGGAAATATTGGTAATTATTGAGGTCAGATATTTTTAGTTGCCCATCACCAATCGGAATTTCTGTTCTTATTTTGATATTTTGATATTTATGTTTATTTTGTTTTCATTCTATTTTTTTTTAAATTATGTGAGAATAATTATTGAAAAATCAATATGAAAATATTGTTATTAGACAAATTATTGGAGAAATTGTCTGGAAAATATAATTTTTGTAGTTATTAAATTAAAATTTTAGAAAATAGTGATTAACTTTTTAATTGCAAATTAAAAATCACTATATTTAATTAGCACCATATATATATATATATTAATTTAATTAATTTATTTATTTAGAAAATGATGATAAGAACATGGAGAGCGAATCGGCTACTTGTTTCTTTTATAAGAAAATTAGCTTTTAAATAACTATTATTTACTTAGACAATCGATATTCTCTCTCCAACTATTGTCCTCTCTGTATTTATTTATTTATTTATTCATTAAAAAAATTGATGTGAATATTTCTTTTTACAAAATCTATATAAATAGAAAAAATTATATGTAAAAACTCAATCCCTACGATTTCGAGTAGCTAGTCCGAGAGGATGATCAACCACGTTGGGACTAAGACACGGCCTAGACTCCTATGGGAGACAGCAGTGGAGAATTTTCCACAATGGGCGAAATCCTGACAAAACAATGTCGCAAAAATTGATGTGAATATTTCTTTTTACAAAATCTATATAAATAGAAAAAATTATATGTAAAAACTCAATCCCTACGATTTCGAGTAGCTAGTCCGAGAGGATGATCAACCACGTTGGGACTAAGACACGGCCCAGACTCCTATGGGAGACAGCAGTGGAGAATTTTCCACAATGGGCGAAATCCTGACAAAACAATGTCGCATGGAGGTAGAAGGTCAATAGGTCGTGAACTTCTTTTTTCGGAGAAGAAGCAATGACGATATCTGGGGAATAAGTATCGGCTAACTTTGTGCTAGCGGCCGCAATAATACAGAGGATGCAAGCGTTATTTGGAATGATTGGGCGTAAAGCGTCTGTAGGTGGCTTTTTAAGTCTGCCGTCAAATCTCAGGGCTCAACCCTGGACAGGCGGTAGAAAACTACCAAGTTGGAGCACGATTGGGATAGAAGGAATTTCTGGTGGAGTGGTGAAATTCGTAGGGATCTGAAAGAACTGCTAATGATTAAGCAACGTCAAGTGGGTTATGTCTTGGATTATACACTAATTAACAACAAATCAACCTAGCCGTCCAGCCAACCCACTAGATTTCAATTGATTGTTACCCTAACTTTTAGTGCATGTATATATTTATAATCATATTTGCAATTACATGTACGCGAGTTAAATGTATTGTGGTATCTACATTGGTTGGGGAAGAACGAAATACCTTTTATAGGTGTAGAAACCTTTCCCTAACAGACGCGTTTTAAAACTTTGAAGGAAAACTCGAAAGGAAAATTCTAAAGAAAACAATATCGGCTAGCGGTGGGCTAGGTCGTTACAATGCTATTAGAGCCAAACACTGGACGACCGGGTGATGTGCCAGCGAGGAGGTTGTTCCCCAAAGGGGGTAAACACGAGGCGGTGTGTCAAAAAGGAGTGAGATCCTACCTCAATTGAAGAAAGGAACCAAATATATTTAAAAAATGGAGAAGCAAAGAAGGAATAGGAGAGAGTGTTGAACAGTGGGCCTGGGCCTGGGCCAGAGGGGAATGCATCAGCCAATTGGGAGTGTAAAAATTCCTGTCCCACATCGAAAAAGCTGCTAATTGGCGACGTGGGAGGATAGTATAAAATGGCGGGAGCAGCATCGGAATCAACCATGATCCTTCAGGCAGTTAACGGGATGTGATAAGTGGTTGACTCTCGCAAAGAATGCGAGTTGGGTGTCTGCCCCAACGCCTGGTTACGACAACTGGGCACTCTCATTTCTTCCATTCTGATCCCTACTTTGAAGGTCCAAAATCATTGTTTCTTCATTTTTCTTCAAATTTTTTTTTTAAAATAGTTATTGTGAATTCTATATATATGTTTTTTTTTTTTTTTTTTTGCCAAACCTTTTATTTTCTTAGCTTAAAAGATTCATTTCCTCAAAATGAATACTAAGGAAAAAAAGTCCCTCCAAAAATTTATTTTTTATTATAATAAATGAGGGATGAAGATTTTGAAATCTTCAATTGAAATTTGTTTTTTTAATGCATGTCAATTGCCCTCTTTTTTAAAAAAAGATTTGATGAGTTGTTTTGGTAAAAATTTAATACTATTTATCACTATATTAAAAAATTTTAGAATTAAAATTAATTTTGAACTAGAAATGAAGTTTTATTTCTGAGATTTGAGTTCGCTTCATTGTTAGAAACTTCATGAAGGTAAGCTTTTTATCACCCCAACCCAACTTGAGAATCTTTCATTTTCACTCAAGGGAAACAAAACCACAAAATTTTGCAACTTTCGAACGGTTCTAAACTTTTATCAAACTTTATGCACATCTCATAACTGCGAGAATATGGTGCATGGAACTTACAAATGACCGTTATTTTGTAGTGTAAATATACATAGAAAGGCGGAGAAAACTCAAAAAAATATATATACAAAGGAATTTGAAGATGATACATAAATGCACTGGGGAAAAGAAATTCTAAAAAGGTTCCTATATTTATTTCATTGTGGGGATAAACGTGAGGTATTCAAAAATGTTTTTTTGTTTTTGTTTTTTAATATCTACACTAACCCATTGTTTCCTTTCAGCTTAAATCTAAACTACCAAGAGAATTCAAGGTCAAAACCGAAACCCCTTTACTTAAAAGTTCAAATCCCTTTATCTTTATTCTCAGTTTTAGAGGTTTCCGTACCTTCTGTTGCTGAAATTCCTCTTTGTGATCGGAGTTTGACCGGCCGATGGTCTGTTGCTGTCGGCCGGAGCTCCGTCCTTGGTGGTTTTGACGAACTGGCTATTGTATTGAATCCGACGAGCTTTATTTGGTTGAGTAATTGCCATTTCCTTGGGAGTAGGAGATCGGCAGCGGAGAGATGTTAAGCGTTGTTGTTGGTGTTTCGCTAAATGGATGAGATGGTGGAGCAATGTGACCAGCTCGATAATTTGTTGCTCTGTTTTCGCTTTGTCTGCGTGGTACAGCGTTTGAAGGCGGATTGGGTTGCTCTGTGTGGCTCTGCCTTTGCTCTGTTCCTTACTACACAAAAAACAATGGTGAAATCATTTTAATTGTTGCCCAACTGAAATCTCTCTCTCTCGCTCGCTCGCTCTCTCTAGAAAAGAAGAATCCTGAAACGAACCTTTGAGATGCCCATTCTCCAATCCGGCCACAAGCTTGATGTGCTCTGCCACCAATCGTGGTGAGATTAGGAAAGTCATTTCAAACTCTTAAATAATAGAAATTCTCCTTACTTGGTTGTGTTTACAGCTATAGGAACAAGCCATCGAAGGATCTTATCCATTTCAACTTTGACACCAAGATAAGTTGGCTGCAGAAAGACACGATTATTGTTTATGAATTAGTAGAACTCTCATGAGGCCCACAGGTTTTCAAGTTGAAAACTTCAGTCAAAGACAGAGAAAAGTAATACCTCCTCCTCACTGGCATCCACAACCTGCAATCGAGAGCGCAGAGCTGTTTTAACACTTGTTGGCAGCGCCCTGTATAATGCATCCCTCATATTGGAAGGAATGGAGGTTGGGCGACATGCCTTTCAAAAAAAACAGCCTTTCTAAGTAACAAGGATCAAATTTGAGAGTAGTTCACGAGAAGAAGAACTCACTCATAAGGATCGGGTAATCATTCGAATTAAGAACATAAGCCCGCTACTTTTTATTTCTCTATCCTTTTATTCATTCGACCCACCCCACTTGACTTCTTTTTTATTCAGCATCAAGAATTCAAACTTCAAACAAGGTTCGACCAACTTACAATGAGATTTATCTGGCTGATTATGTTTGAATAATGTAAGGCAAGACCAACAGAGCCCAGTTTCTGGCCAATACTTCTCTCCTCTATAACCAATGTTTTATCTGCAATGGTAGGTTGCCATTACAGTAAGAGTTTAAGATAAATGATTGGATGGAAGAATGAAGAACAAGCAAGAAAGTCGGATGACTGGACAATTCCAGGCAGGCACCTGTGTTCTTGTCTCCAAATGCTTTGGCTATTGCTTGATTTATCCATGTTACAACCGCGACGAGCTTTTCCACAATCTGTGAACAAAAGTTGGTTAGTTCTTATCACTTAGAAAAATCTGGAGTCATTCAGAAGTAAATACCTCGTCTAAATTTCTGGACCAAAGGCCTTTGATTTGAAAGCTCCTTACGAGTTTTCTTTGTACGTTTAATTCTCCTTGGAATATTGAGAGACTTTCTCCTACATTTAGATTAAAATGATAGCATTGAATAACACTTGGATGTTCTTCTTGTGTAACAAATTGACACCAAATTATTTATGCCAATATTCGCAAGTTGAAAGCTTCTATGTACTAACCTATTCCTGCTTGGTTCATGAACTCCACTTCGTCGACTCTCCGTCTGTAATCTTGCTCAAATCTTTCCAATATTTGTATTTCATGGTATAATTCCTGCCAGAGGTTCAGTATTCGGTTAAATTCGGTAAAAATCAGAACACGTAGCAGCTCAAGCCGACACTACACGTAACAGCTCAAGCCGACACTACACGTAACAGCTCAAGCCCCCACTAGCATATATTGTCCTTTAGGCTTTCCTTTAAAACGCCTCTACTAGGGAGAGGTTTCTACGCCCTTGTAAGAAATGTTCGTTCTCCTCTCCAACCAATATGGGATCTAACAATTCACCCCCTTCAGGGCCAACATGCACACTGCTCGGTGTCTCGCTCTGATACCATATGTAACAGCTCAAGTCCACCGCTAGCAGATATCTAGCAATCCACCCCCTTCAGGGCCAACATCCTCATTAGCACATTGCTCGATGTCTTGCTCTGATACCATTTGTAACAGCCTAAGTCCACCGCTTGCAGATATCTAACAATCCACCCCTTCCGGAGCCAACGTCCTCACTGGCACACTGCTCAGTGTCTAGCTCTGATACCATACGTAACAACCTAAGCCCACCGCAAGTATGCGAAGTGTTTCGCTCTGATATCATATGTAACAGCCCAAGCCCACCTAGCAGATATTACCTCGGTGTGATCTCACAGAAAATAATAAAAAAGATGTTTTCAAGCTGCAGTCAAATGTTACTAGAATTTGAAAATGTACTTCTCCAACAATGATAAGCCAAAATATGACGATCTTGAAGTAACTGAGCTGAAAACTGAACTTACAGAAGTATACTGAGCTAAGATAGTTAGCTCCTGCATAGCTGCTCTTGCCTCTCGAGCTCGTTTTTGAGTCGAATCATTCAAATCTAGTCTGGAATACCAAAATTATTCGACACTGTTTTCGGATCTCGATAATTGAGCAAAAATCTGACAATATTAACTACCTTGAAAAGAACTGATCCAAATTGTGCCACTGTGGATCCTTGCATCTGTTTCCAAATCGTATAACCTCCCGTAAGAGCACATCAAATTCCTGCCTGCAAGAACAGAAATGTAAGACTACAAGGTTTGTCTTTTATAAGCACAAAACTACACGAGACATTCCATGACTACACTGTTGTATGCCAAAAGCGGAACAAATGTACTCAAATCACCAATGAACGACACCAAGATATTTACGTGGTTCGGAGAGAAGAAGTTCCCCTACATCCACGGATAGCAACCAATCACTAAATCCAAAGCTTACAAGTGAATACCTCACCATCACACTACAAAGACTCTCACCAACATATCACTCAACAAATACAATGTGACGCTCAAAACTCTCCCAAATATGTCACTCAACAAATACGACGTAACACCCAAAACTCTCCCATCTCCTGATATTACTTCTCCGATCTCCCGATATCACTAGTTAGGAATGGAGGGAGAAATCTCTCATTATATAGCATTACAGAATTAAATCTCCGACTAAGACTAAATCTAATCCAAATAACCAAATCAAATCTAATTCAATTACTCAAATCAAAACTTATGACAATTTACAACATACACCTTTTGTCAGCAGCTGCAATGCTTAGCAATTCCTCTACATTTGTTGACACTAATTGTCTCATCCCTTCTGATTGTGAAAGTTCCTTTTTGAGGAGCTGGATGTTGTCTTCTGAGAGAGATCGGGATAAATTGGCTACTTTGCTTATGGTGTTTGCTACTTCAAAAGCCAAAATGGAAATCTCCCTCCCATCTGAAGCCATGCCTGTAAAAAACCCACTGTTTGTGTGCATATTTGACACACTATTTCCAAAAGTTTTCAAGAAATCAACTGCTTTCCGTGCCCCTCCTAGCGCGTTCGTTGGTGCAACCTATACAGTAAGACAGAACAACAATAAACAGGCGCCAAGCTTCACATCAAAGCCTGAGGGTTGAAGGTATAAACACCAAACTATTCATCTAGTGTTGTGTTGCTCCTATAAAAGATGGCAAGCATTGCAGATCAAAAATCTAGAACTTATAATCTTGGCCTTATTTAATCGATCAAGAATGGACAAACTCTTGTATTGGTGTCAAAATATTATTGATAACATAAGAACAGTGTAAATACTGTTAAGAACAGTGTTAATACTGTAGGCATAATCATGCAGATCACCATAGAGGATAAGTAAGAACTTCCAATGTTTACTAAATCAATTTGTATAAGAGCTAGCGGTGGGTTTGGATTATTACAAATGGTATCAGAGCCAGACACCGGGTAGAGTGCCAGCGAGAACGCTGTACCCTGAAGGGGGTGGATACCGAGTGGTGTGCTAGCGAGGACGTTGCGCTCCGAAGAGGGTGGATTGTGAGATCTCTTGATTGGTGAGAGGAACAGTCATTCTTTATAAGGGTGTGAGAACCCTGAAGGGGGTGGATACCGAGCGGTGTGCTAGCGAGAACGTTGCGCCCCGAAGGGGGTGGATTGTGAGATCCCTTAATTGGTGAGAGGAACAATCATTCTTTGTAAGGGTGTGAAAACCTATCCCTAGCAGACGCAACAATCATTCTTTGTAAGGGTGTGACTATCCCTAGCAGACGCATTTTGAAAACCTTGAGGGGGAGCTCGACATGAAAATCACAAAGGTGACAATATCTACTCGCGGTGGGCTTGAACTCTTACAAAACATTTTCAACAGGAGAAAAAACATATATGAGTAGTCACTATTTGAAACATAATGCTACAGAGACTAAATCGCCCTTTCAATATCTCCATAATTTGTTTCTTAAATAATGCATTATTCCAATGTTCCAACTTCTACACTTTCAGAAATCCTGTATTAACTTCTCAAGGATCCAAACATATTCATCAAATCTAGTTATTTATACATTTTACTACGTTGATCAATTCCAAACTAGAATCTTCTTTCTCTTTATTTTGATCATGATTGACTAATAAATTTGATCTCCACAGCCACAACTTGGTTTTAATCACATGGAAATGGTAATGCAAAGGGAATAAAACCATACCTTATTGCTTCCTGTCTTAGACGGAGGTGAGGGCAATAAGATCACACCAGAACGAAGCTTCAGCGGCAGTTCATCCGGATCACTCGCATCAGGATTCAAACACGAATTTCCTTTCCGATCCTCAAATATTTTCGCTTTCTTCTCTGTCACGAAATCATCCTTAACAATTCCATTCGAACAAACGCCTCCCAGCGTGTTCCCCATCTTCCAAACCTCTACTAATATCCAAAATCCCTATATAATTTGGATGATCATCATCACTGATTCAATTTCCACTTCATTTACGCCAGAAGCAAGAATAAAAGGGGGAAAAACAGCAAAGACCACTCAAAACTCAATCAGATGATCATTACAACCTCGAAATTTCTCAATCATTGAAGAACTAAGTTCTAAGCAGCGGATTGAACTAACATTCACAAAGTATTAATAAATACGCAGAACGATAAATCCAGTACTCTTCATTTTTCTCAACAACCAAACAACAAGTAGCAAGTAGCGCCAGTAATCAAACAGCACAAGAAAATCCCTCTGGACAAAGAAAAACAAGAAGCATACCGTATTTCCAAGAGAAAGTCGCTATCGAATCAGTGAATTAAAAATCAACATTCAAAAGAAGTCGAGAAACGTTCTTGTAAGAGAAATTATCCGATGAACACCATTGCTGCTGCAGCTACTCGTAAAGGCTAAGAGAAAGTTCAACCAAAGTGATAAATTAGGACGGCAATGAAACGATTTCTTCCTTCAAATTTGATTGTTGAAAGTCGAAGAAGAAGAAGAAGAAGAAACAGAGGTGAAGAACAGAACCGGCGACTCCGCTCCCTCCGTCGGTGCCCGCGGATTCTAAAGGGCAGAGAGGCTTCAAATCATGACAGTGCCAAATTAAATATAGTTTTCTCTCAATCCATTTTTACCCGTTTAATTATTATTATTATTTTTTGGATGTCGATATGAAAATTTTATATTTATTAACAATTTTACACCCTCAAATATTTAAATAAAAAATTAAAAAATTTAAAATTTAAAAAAAAAATTAAAAAATTGAATTGTTATATTAATTCAATATAGTTTTTGTTGCCAACTGGAGTACAGTAGCATAAAACATATATCATTGACTAAAAACTCAGATATTTATGTTAGATGAACACGACTCTTCACAATGGTATGATATTATCTCATTCCCTAAATTAGTCGATGTGGGACTTCCATCGTCCAACACCTCCCCTCGAACAAAGCATGCCTCCCCTTAATCAAGGCTAGACTCCTTTGGTGTCTTAGTCATTTTTTACTGCCTTCGAGGAGGCTCGACTCCTTTTCTTTTGGAGTTTTTTGTTCGACATTTGAGGATTTACCAATCTATTAGCACGACTAAGTTTAGAGCATGACTCTGATACCATGTTAGACGAACACGACTCTCCACAATGGTATGATATTGTCCACTTTGAGCATAAGCTCTCATGGTTTTGCTTGGGCTCTCCCAAAAGGCCTGACATTAATGGAGAGAATATTCTTTGTTTATAAATCATTCCTTAAATTAGTGGACCTGGGATTTCTATCATCTAACAATTTAAACAGCGTATAATATATGAATTTTTTTAATTTTAATTTACTTCAATATTCCAAAATTTGACGTAAAAATATATTTTAGCGTACTTTGTTTAATTTAATGTATAGAAATAGGTAAAAAAAATGAATAATAAAATATATGGTAAAAATGTTGACCTTGACCAATTTAATTTTGTTTGAAGATTTATATTTGAGGTATTATAATTAAACACATAATTAAAATAAAATAAAGAAAGGAAAATTGAAAGAGAGAACTATTAATTGTTTTTTAGAATAATAAAAAAATAGTAATGATGATAAATGT